ATTTATTTGTTGATTTATTTATTTATTTATTTATTTATTTATTTATTTATTTATTTATTGATTTATTGATTTATTGATTTATTGATTTATTGATTTATTTATTTATTCATTTATTTGTTGATTTATTTATTTATTTATTTATTTATTTACGGCGGCATGGCGTTAACCAGCCACGGTGGTCGGCACCATCACGGGGGATGATCACGGGGGAACCAGGACCTTTCTTGGTGGATTCTGCATGTTCTCCTGTGTCTGTGGGTTCTCTCCGGGTTCTCCGGCTTCTTCCCAACGTCCAGAAACCTGCATGTTAGGTTGATTGGACACTCAAACTGCCCTTAGAAATTAGTGTGAGTGGTTGTTGGTCCTTGCGTGTCTCTGTGTGGCCCCCTAGACCATCACGGATGTACCCCACCTCTCCCCCGTTGACTACCGGGATAGGCTCCAGTCCCCCCGCGACCCCATTTGGGAATAAGCTCTTCAGAAAAATGGATGGATTTTATAAAAAACATGTTTTCGTCCTATCTGGTTGCGAAGTAGCCGCAGTTTTCTAGAGAAGTCTCCTAGTTGTGACAGTCCGTCGGTGGTGCTGTGTTGAAATATTACGACATGTCTGCGGCCGGGTTATCACACACGACACTGAGGGGAAAGGGTTAGGGAATTACACAGCAAATAATCAGCACTGTCATCCTCACGCATCGTCAGTTGAATGTCTGATCATGAAGTTTTAGGACAGTTGACATTTAGAGACAGTTGGTGAAACAACAATGCTGATTTTTGGGGGGCTTTTCCTAAGCTTCACACATTTGCGAATGGACAACTATCCCTTAAAGTCTGAAACCAAATGATTTTTACCCCCCGACAGCTGTCGGCGGTCACTCTGCTCCAGTTGCTGCTGCGGTCAGCTTCAGCATGGCCGCCGTCCTGCTGCCCGCTGCCGCCTTCTTCTGCTACAAGAAGTAAGCTCAGGGTGGAAGTAGAATAAAAAAAATATATATATATAATTTTAAAAGTGGCCATCTTTAGGCCCGTTGACTGTTGTTTTTTCATTATCTGACAACAGGCTGAAATCCGGGTGGTGCGACCGATTGGCCAAATGTCCAGTTCCAGAGCTTCTGGATTGGGGTCCAGTTGGGCAGGAGGTAAGCGGTTTGGAGTTTACCAGTTCACGAGCTGATTCCTTGTTTTTTAATACATCCATCGCTTTTGCGAGGGGCTTTTTGTTCCTACGTTTCGGCCATGGACACAGAACAGCCTTTTCTCCGATTCCTCTCTGTTTTTTTTATTCTTATAATTTTCTTTATTGAGGAAAAGAGTCAAAGAGGATGAGGTGGACCCCAAACACAAAAAAATGCTCACTTTTTTAGACAGTTTTCCTTCCCACTTCCCCACAACCCCATGTTTAAGCACAAAGCACAAATGAAAGTAAATTAGAATGACAGAATAAGGGACAGAAAGAGAAAGGGAAGGGGAAAAATGAAACAGAAATGAAAGAACACAATTCTAATAACCCAAGGAAAAAATAATAGGGAGAGAAACAAAAGAAGAAAATCTAAAGGGGGTAAAGATAAATGAATAAACAACTCAGGCTTGTCTTTCTTCTGGTTCCCTCTCTGTTTTTAAAACGTGGTTTGATTCCATGGTGATTCCTGGTGTGGTAATTGTCTGGAGCTTCCCCGTTGCAGCTGCTGCCTCCGTCAGAAGCCGCCGTCTGGCCCGTCACCTTAGTCCCGGCGGTCCCCGGGCATCCCGATTACCACCCACCGGGGTGAGACACCCGGGATCGTCCCCAAACGGTAACCGCTTCCAACCTGGCAACCCCTATCAACCCCCCTGTCTCCTTTTCCCCCTAACGTCCAGCTCGGAGACCCCCCCGGCCACGGACGAAATCCGGACCACTCCCGAATGGCTCCGCTTCGAGAACATGACCTACTGCGCTCCCCTTCTCCCCGGGGAGATGTTCTCCTCCTGGGCGGGGGGGGCCGAGGGGGACCAGCAGGTCCCGGCTGGTCTGGTTTCCACGGGGCCAGAAGGCCCGGCCTATGTGACGGTGGACGTACGGTACCAGGCCTCTGACCCAGAGACCGGGAGGCTTTCTCAATCAGAGGATTCCGCTTTGTGTCCAGACCCGTGTGGGACCGGGACCACGCCGGCTCCTAGCTTTACCTCCGGTGGGCGGGGGGGCAGCGAGGGCTCTGGCGCGGAGTCGTGAACCTAAACAAGCAGAATAAAAGGCCGAGAAGCCTCCCTTGTTGGGGTCCCGTTTTTCAAGGCAGAACCAAGGTTCCAAAAGCCTTTTTTCCCTCTCGGATCTCGGCTCTGTTGATGGCAGTAATCGCATGCTGAGCGAAGGCCTTCATGCGAGCTGTGCTTAACTCATTGGCTGCCAAAGACGTCTGTAGACGTCTTTTATGTTTTTCAATGCGAGTGGCTTGGGGGACGATCTGCTAAAGCTTGTCCGTAAATATCGGCTTCTAGACAGAGTATGTAGTAACAAATTTACCCTCTAGGGGGCAGTGCCACTTTTGATGGGAGATGAGCATAGACTGTAGGCAAATAAGAAAAAGCTAACGGTTCGATATGAGAGAACATGTCGCCGGTGAGACGCAAGTCGAGGAAGAACGGAATAAGGTAGAAACAATTTTTTTTTTCCCGATGAAAGAAGAGAGTCTACTCTTTCTTTTGGTGTGTTCGGTATTTACATAGTCATAACACAAACTATTATGCTATGTGGCTCTTGAAAAATCAGTCAAAATGCTCAAAAAACTCTGGCAGTATGGGACTTCTGAAAATGGCTGGCAGTCAATGAGTTAACGGCCAAGCTGTAAGTGGGATTCAGTTCGACCAGCAGAGGGAAGCTCATCGGGACTCAGACTGAAAGCCATGGAGATGTTTCGTTCTGCAGAGCTGTGAGATTACTTCCTCTTCGCCTTTTTTTTCCGGGACTGTTAACTTCCTCCGCGATGTCACGTTCAAAACGATGCGTTTCGCTGAATCAAAAGCTCCAGCTGTTTATTTTTTTGTTTTCAAAAAGGTTAATATAAGCGTTTGCTCTCCTTGGTGGCCAGAATAAAAGTGAGTTTGATCCAGTTGCAGCGGCCAGTCTTTTTTAAAAATGAAAATGCAAATGTCTATAAATCTTTTTCTTCTTTCTCTGTAACGGTGCTAAGTACTTATTTAACAAAGATGAATAGGAGTCACAGGTCCATGTTCTGGGCCTGTTCCGGTCAGAAACTCGTCCCTCTTTGGCCGGACGAATATCGATGTGTGGAGAGCTGAAAACTGAAGGAGCTAAAGTCGCCCTCTCGAGGTTAAAAGGGGAGCAACCCTAATGCAAACCAACTTTCTAGAATATGAAACTTATCAGCCCTGTGTCTCCTGAACTGCTTTCTGAACCCATTCCCCCACAGGGCCGACAACTAGAGGCACAAATTCACACTTCCAGAGGGCCTGAATGGTACAAATACATCCCCAAGTAAATATTACACATATCAGCTCTTTTTTAAAAGATTTAGTGTGTAAATCATTAAAGTTAGTAAATGAATTGGTGAATGAATTCGTGTTTGTCTTAAACTCGGACACCATACGGACTCTGGAACGCTGGTTCCTCCATCACGCCGTCACGCTCATGAAGTTAAAATGGAGGAAAAACCAGCTGATTAAATCCGTCTCAATTCAGCTAAAACGATGAAATGTGAAATAAAGTTTTAATTTGAATGCCTCCTTCCATTGAAGAGGAACCTCTTACTTTTCAAACGTGGGCGTTTGTGAGGTCTTTGGACCCCTAAAGGTGGAATTAGGCCCCTTTGATTAATCGGGTCCTTCATCTCTTTGGTCTAGAGGTGTCCAAATTTTCCAAAAAGAGTTTTAAAACCTCAGCTTAATCGAAGCACGGAGTCGGAATCTTCTGGAGAAACGCAGAATCAATCTTCTGAGGCGAACTAAAAAGCCAGAAGTTTGAGCTTTGGGCCTTTATCCGCTTTAGTTTTTCCGAACCCCTCCAGGTGAAGCTTCTCCCCCAGCTCTCTCCCACCTGTTAGGCTGTGGAGGAGTTTTCTCAGCAGGCGGCCATCGGCCTCCATCCCACCTTCCATTGAGGGGATAAACAAACAAGTGTGCTGTTGGTTTAAAGCCGCCGCGGGCCTTCATTAAAAGCTAATCTGCCTCTGAAAAGGTTTCCCTCCCCGCTGCTCGGTCCCCGCATTCACCCACTACGAGCTTCATCTGCATCACAACGCTCCCAGATTAGGCTAATAGCATTAGGGGATCTCACTGGATCATTATTATCGCCATCATTCTCATTCTTATGACTTCAGACTCAGTCGCAGACGTTTGTCGGATGCATTCTGGGTGAAAAAACCAAAACCGATGTTCTACTTTGGTAATTCGGAAGAAAAGGGAGGCAGGTTCGCTTTGTTTTTTTCTGTCATGGTGTCAGTTTTTCAAAATGGCCTCCGTCTCTAATCTCTCACACACATTGTCACCTGGGGGAGAAACACACACATTAGTATACGCAAATGTTTTAAAGCGCTCTGTTTTTTTTTCTTTTGGGGTGAGAGTTCTGGTTCGGGACGGAGGAGAAAAAATTTAAATGTGCCGTCTTCAGCACAGCCAATTAGCAGAGATTAGCCGCTGCATGGAACCTCAGGGAATCCCATTCACATGGAAAAAGACTTCTGCGTTTCTAATTGGTGGCCAGTGGAAGTCCCTTTTTCTTCCCCCATTTAAACCGGCACCAGGCATCTCGTGGTCCTGCTGGTCTGAGGGAGATCCAGCCCAAAGCATCCACTCAGTGTGTGCTTTTTGGGACTTGTCAGAGGAACTTTTATTCAAGTCGTTGCTCCGCAGAGGCCTTTTCGCTCTTTCTCAATATGGAATCCACTCTGGCGGCAGAAATCGGGCACTCCTTTTCCATCGATCGGATCCTGGATTTGGAGCGGGAAAAACCCGGAAGCCGGCCGAAATTTCACCGGCCGTGGGAAGGTGAGTGGGAGCTCCTCCTCATAAAGCTCATGTTCGCAACATGAGTGTTTTTCATTAACCTTCCTTGAGCCTTGAGAGATTTTGTATTAATGTTACATGTATTAAAGTGAGAGTAAAAAATATGCTGTGAAACAGACTGCACCTCCACATGAGAACTGCAGCTTTAAAGGCTCAAATATCTTATTTTGGGAAATTTCTAACCTCTCAAAACATTATTTTTATCAAATTTCCACCTTTTACCTCCATTAACTCACATAAAGTGTAATAGTTTAAATCTTAATTTGTTTTTGTATTTGGTGTTTTGTAGATTTAGTACATTTCTGTTATTTTTAAATCATTCAAAAACAAATTGGGATAATTTCCAGATTGATATATTATTATGTACCGAAATATGTTTTTAATTTAGAACAAACAAACAAACATTACAGCTATCTTTTTTTCCATTTTAATGTAATGAATGGATCACTAACCTAACTGTCTGTTTTACAATTTAGGGGGAGAAAACATGTCAAATTTACAATGATATTGTTAATTTTTCATGTTAGCTGAAACTTAAAAGCAGTCTAAAAACTCTATCTGTGCTAGAATTTCAGCAGAATTCCAACTATTTGCTGCAAAACACTTTTAAAAGCGAGCAAATGTGAGCAAATATCCCTATTTCCAAGTCAAGTCTGATCACTGTTTTGGAAAAACCCATTAACTGTGCCGATTATCCCACCGTTGATTCTTATATTTTTGTGTTTTGTGGCTCCTATTCAAACAGTTTAAACCACTGTGAAAATTACATTTAAAATTAATTTGATTAAAAAAAAGAAGCAAACAGTTTGATGATTTGGAGTAAAATATGTGA